GGGTTTGAACCACCAGCCTTCTGGTTAGCAGTCAAGTGCCTTAGGCACTATGCTACCAGAGCTCCTGGGATCTGGCAGAGTACCCTCTATTCATTCAGATTCAGAATTTACATATTGTAGATTTTTCTTTCTAATTTTTAAATATATTAGCACCTACTTATTACTTACCAAAGCGAGCCTCTTCAGAGGAGAAAGTCAATGTGCTCCATGCCTACCTTTCCATGTGCCTCCTATCTGCTCAGGGTGAAGGTCTCTACCATCTACTAAATTTCTTTAGTAGATGGTAGAGACCTTCTCAACCCAGGAAGCCTTCCAGCTGGTCTTGGAGTCTTCAAGCAAATGTGTATGCATTTTCCCTTTCTCCCCTACAAGGCAATCCAAAAGCTGCCATCCACCTTTCAAGTTAATCAGCCAACCTCAGAAACAGAATATAGACCAGCTCTGTTGAATGTTCCATCACCTGCACAAAGATATCCCAGCTACCCAAAGCAACCTACCTGAGCACTTCACTTAGGACAGTAAGAAAAATATCTTGCAGATCTGATTAAGTCTACCCACCCAGAGGCAGGCTGGTGTGTTGTTGTGGTCCTTGGGTACCTGTTACCATACAAGGGGCTTGGAAACTCTAAGTTGTGGAACCAGTTGTGAGCCATCCTTCCAATGGGGACTCTGTGGCCTTCCACTCCAGAACCCAACTCTGCTCTCTCCCCTCCAGTTTACATAGCATGCTCATAAGGACTCCATGGTCACTATCTTTAACACATTAGAAACTGAGCCTCCTGCTTTTCAACAGTTATTACAATGGTGGGAGGAATAAATTGAATCCATTAGCATATATTAAACAACCACTGTGGGCCCAATACTGTGATAAGCTCTGTAGGAAACACAAAAAGAAATAGGAGACAAAGTATAATCTCTGTGCCCTAAAATCCAAGTTGGACAGTATACATGTACTTAGCACAAAACTATCAACAGCAGAAGGTGGGATAAAGTCAAGGACAAGTTTGTCTAGCAGTAATCCAGGCTCCCCTAATTGATATCAAGAGTCCCTGGGTAGCACTAACAGTTAAGTGCTAGACTACTCACTGAAAGGTTAGCAGTTTAAACCCACCCAAAGGCACACCTCAGAAGACAAGGTCTAGCAATCTGCTTCTGAAAGATCATTGCCACGAAAACCTTGTGCAGCACAGTTGTACTATGCACACATGGGGTCACTATGAGTCAAAATCAATTTGATAGCAACTGGTTTTTTTTTTTGTTTTTTTCTACAGCCAACTCATTTGTAAGTGCCCTTTTCCAGAAGCCAAGGTGGGCATGTTTTTCAGGGAACATGGTACACAAGAGAGTTAACTCCAAGGCAGTATGGACTCAGACATGAGTTTTGAAGGACAAAGTTAAATAAAAGTGATTACAAGTCCTTTTCTGTTCTAGATTTTCCTCCTGAACCTCATTGACACCTCAATGACAACACTTGCTCCTCATGGAGAAGTGGTTCTGATTTGGCGACATAAACTTGTTTTTACACACTGTGAGCCAGCTGTCACATTTGCTTTGACTCAGTAACCAAGGAGTTGAATGCTCTGAACTATAAGAACAAAATCCCTCCATTTTTTGCCTGAAAGTTGTCAACAAACAATGCAGATCTTATCTGTGAACAGGTGACCTCTAATACTGAACACACCACGGACTTCCAGAGGAAGGAACAAATCAGTTTTAGAAGAAATATAACCGGAATGCTTCTTAGAAGCAAGGATGGCAAGACTGGCTCACTTTCTTTGGACACATTATTAGGAAAAACTAATCACTAGGAAAGGACATCATGTTTGGTAAAGAGGTTCAGTGAAAACAAGGAAAACCCTCTATGAGATGGACTGACACAATAGATGCAACAATGGGCTCAAACATACCAGTGATCATGAAGATGATGCAAGACTCAGTAAGGTTTCGTTCTATCATACATAAGATAGCCATCAGCTGGAGTTCACTTAATGACAGCTAACAACAACAACAACAACCACCATGGTAGGCTAGGTCATTCCCCTTAATTCATTAGCTTTTTTCTTTGTTTCTCTTAAAGACAGCCCTCTGCTTCAATCTGTTTCCTTTCTCCATTTCTTGCCCCCACAGTTATGTAATATGCTCCATATGTCCAGAGCCCTTCTTCCCCATTCTGTGTCTGGTCCCAACACAGCATTAAAGCACAAACACAATTTTATGAAGTGATGACAAAGGTTTTCTCTAGGTTAAAACTGCCCTGATGAGAGTGTAAATGCTCCTGTCCCATGCTGGCTCTGTGACAAGCTGCCTAAATTTCTTCTTTTTTTTTAATAAACCACCCTATTCACCCAGCCAACTGCCCTCTTTTTTTTTTTTTTTTTAATTGTAAGGAAATGTCCACAGATGGCAGCTGTGTTAAGTTGGGATACCCACATGAGGACCATTATGTGTGCAAAAGAAAGATGGGTTGGAAGCCAACAGAATTATGTGATTATATCAGAAGAAAATTTTCTTCTAGACAAATAAAGGGGATATATACCCCTTTTTGACTCCCTGTAATGTACAAAATATTGAGAAACATTAACAAAAAGGCCAAATGTACTATGAATGTGTGCATGACATGAACTAGCTTTTATAGAGTTTTAAAAATGGTATCTATTGGAGGCCATATGAAAAGATTACAAGGGAACAAAGAAGCAGAATGTTCGAACATTCTAAAAAATAGAATTCTTTTGTTGTTAGTTGCCATTGAGTCAGCTCCAATGCATGATGATTATATAACAAGACACTGCCCAGCATTGCACCTCTTCATGATTATTGGTATGTTTTAGTGTGTTGCTGTAGCTATTGTATTAATCCATCTCATTGAGGGTTTCCCTCATTTTTGCTGACCTTCTACTTTCCCAAACATGATGTCTTTTTCTAGTGATTGGTACTCAAACACTATTTATTGAAGGCCTGCTATGGGCCAAGCCCTGTGCTAAGTGCTATGGGAACATTCCCAATACCTCTGTGGAAAAAAAAAGCATTCTTGTTCTTGAACACCTCTCTCCTTCCTAGACCTCAGGTAAACATAAGGTGCTGAAGGTGTTTACTGATATAAATAATCCATTGCCATCAACCCAAATCAAAAGAAGATGATGGGTTAACCTTGAGACTTACCCCACCTCTGAAGTTCTAAAAGCAGAACTCTGGGGCTCCCCATGGCTTCGAGGGGTGCCTCGGCGGTTCTCGGAGTCACTCACGCATCCTTTCCCCAGCAATTTCTTACTCTGTACAAAGGCTGCAGGATCATTCTCATACCCATTCAACATCCCATGGCCAGCTCTAGTCCTCGTCATCTCAGGCTGATGGCCCTCATAGTTATCCTCACGTGGTCCTGAGAGTTTTCGTGACAATTTGTATCCATGAGAAATTAAGAGATCTTCCACACTGTACATGGTGCACTGGATTTATCAAAGCTCAGCCACTAGGAACATCTTGGTGGTGGGATCCATCACTGAGGGGGGAAACAGAGAGCTTTGTAAGGAGTCACCATTCCTGTGTCACTAGTTCTCCCTGAAATTGACTCTAATCCCTCTTCCTCTTCTCTTAAACATACACCAAACTAGACCATGGCTGACGAACACAGCACAGTGTTTCTAAAGATAAAGAAGAAATATGGATTGCTCTCCCTGAAGCTACTTTCAGTCTTACTTGAGTGGGTGAATACATTGGCTCTAGAGGATGTGGTGGTAATTCTGAGGACCTCACTCTCTGATGAATGCTTCTTGTAGAAGAGTTCAGAATAGTGTGTAAGCAAGGAAATTGATTAACTGTGTCCACCATCTCTTTATCCTGCTCATCTGAAAAGAACAGGCATGCAGAGTGAGGACAAAATAAATATAGACTCTGACACTGCAATTATTGCTTCATGTTTCTAAAAAGAGAAACTACCAACATCCAGCTTAATCTTAACTATACTTCCCTGCTCTCATGTTGCAGACATACCTTTTGCTCATAAAGAGCAGAACATGATCTTTAATCAACAAACAGCCATGCTCTGTAGTCTATATGTCAACTGCCAGGGACTCTACCACAGAGTGGTTAACTAGTATCTGAAAACAGATTTTATGGCTTTAGGCTCATCAAGAGAAAACAAACAGCACACTCATCAAGCATACACACCCAGCCCACTGCACAATCTATAAGTTCTCTTTTCCACATGAATCTTTTCAGAATCAAATTTCACCCCAATGGGTCTTGGGGAAAAGCTTGGCATCTCTGAATCAAGTGGGTCCACACCTAAAACCTGCCATGGTACATTAATTCAACAGCAGCAACTTTCCTGAGAATAAGCCATGCAAACAATATAGTACCAACAGAGGAGAATAAAAATGGACAGAAACCTACTTGAGAGCATATGTGTGAAAAGAGGTGGGGCAGCCATGTTTATTTTCACACAAGAGAATCTAATTTCCTGTCTCTCCCTTTCCAGAGCAAAGAAGAGTGGAGAAAATCAAAACACATGGAAACAATTAGTCCAAAGGACCTATGGACCACAGGAACCTCAGCTTCCACATCCCTGAGATGAAAAGAACTAGATGGTACCACTACTGACTACTCTGAATGTCCTAAATAGAGTAGGAGAAAAATGTGGAACAAAATTCAAAATCATAAGAAAGACCTGGCTTACTGGTAGATAAAGACTGGTAGTCCCAAAACTATGGGTGCAAGAGTATGGCCCTTCGTGGGCCTGGAAATGAACAATCACTCCCATGGCTCAATTTTCAGCCAAACAATAGACAGGTCTACAAAGTGAAAAATAACACTAAGGAGGTACAGACTCCTTAGAACAATCAACTGTTTGAGATCAAAAGGGTACCATTTGCCCAAGAATAAAGTTCAGAAGGCAAGAAGGGATGCAAAAGAAGGAGGAATGGAAACAACACACACATGGAAGAAATGGGATGAGTTGATGTTATACTGAGGGACTGTTATCAATGGCATGAAACAAAATGTGTATGAATTGTTAAGTAAAAACTGATTTGCTCTATAAACTTTCACCCAAACCATAATAAAAAGTTTTAAAACCCCACCAAATCTAATTTCCTAAGTCTTCCTTTTGTTAACAGGGTAGGCACAGATTTTGGTCAGATGGCATCTGACCCAGCCTCCACAGAGTGAGTGAGTGACTCCACAGAGGTTGTGACTCTGGCTTGGGAAAGAAGCACACCCAAGCCAGGCTCTCCTAAGACAGCTCAGCCAGCCCCAGCCACACCAGGTTGGTGGATGGGAACCGAGCTGCCGCAGGCACCACAAACAATGGCCAGGAAATGCCTGCTGGCCGGTGTGCTTCCTGTCAGTGGGAATTCTTGCTCAGGCCCTCACACAATTCTGCTGACTGTGCATGTTCTCACTCTTCACATACTAGATTACAGTGGCACAAAAGCCCCAGTTGTCAGCATGGAGAGTATCAAACTTTGGAGGCCTATAACTTTCCATTATGTACCCATATTTAATGGAAGGTGGGCAAGCTCTGGCAGTTACTATACTAATAGAAAAATCTCCAAAGCAACTGTGCCATTTCTGATGTTGTTGTTGTTGTTGTTATGTGCCGTCGAGTCGGCCCCCGACTCATAGCGACCCCTCCTTGGGTTTCCGAGGCAGTATCACTATGGAAGTAGGATTGCCCAACCTTCCTTCCGAGGAGTGGCTGGTGGGTTTGCCATTTCTGATACACTCCTGCTATGTCTCTTAGGGAGTTGTCCGTCTTGGGTCATTCCCTTAGATAGAAATGCAAGTACAAGAGAAGCAAGAATTTGTTCTTTTACGCAACTGAGTAAGTCAATGAGGTAGTACCATGGAGGAAAGAAATCCTATGACAAATTCCATGCAAATTCTACAACAGAGGTGTGTAGACAATGCTGCAGGCACACAGAATACAAGTGTGATGAAGGCACAATCTTTGTTTTGTTCAATTCTATATGCCTAGTTTCTAGCACAGTCTACTCTCAATACACTGACTGAATGGTCATATGAGAGAAAATTACATTTGAGCTGGGTTTCAAAGAATGATTAGGAGTTCATTAGATAAACTGCATGTATATGTTTTTAGTATTTTTATATGTGTATGAGAGGTTAATTGACATTTAGAATAGACATTGAGTTCAATTACCCCAGGAGAAAAGAAATAGTTGAGCTAGAGAATTCTGGTAGACTAGGCTAAGGTTCCCAGACCTACTGGCTCAGTGTCTGCTTTGGTTACTTCCTGCTGCTTTAACAGACATTACCACAAATGGGTGGTTTGAAAAAACAGGAGTTTATTCTCTAACAGGTTTGGAAGCTGGAAGTCCAAGTTCAAACTGCCAGCTCTAGGGACTGGGTGAAAACCACCTTGACCCTGGGTTTCAGCTTTGCCTCTTGCTCCCAGCCCACTAGAGCTAGAGGTGTCTCTTCACTCAGGCAACTGCTGACTGCTGAGGCTGACAAACCCAAGGTCGACAAGTACAATGGCACAATCCCAAAATTATAAAATCACAGGGCAGTCCACTAATTCAAGTCCATTGACAGTCCCAAGATTGGCAGACAACATGGCAAGTTGCTGAATGATGACACGGCTATATGCAGGATTCAAGGGTGCCAAAAACTAGAGACCTTCCTCAAAGCTGCTTCTTACATACTGGAAGCAGACCACATCCCTAAAGTAGCTACTCAGTTGCTCCAGTAGATTCCACCATGGAGTTAATTACCACTCTTATCATAGGGAATAACTACATCTGCTGCCCAGCCACTCAAAATCAGGCCCAGCCAAGTTGACACATAAACTTAACTACGAATGTCACACATCCAGTCAACATCACAGTCAGACTTTAGGTCTTTGGACATGGACTTTCTCTCTTACTGTTTCAGGCTCTTAGAAGAAAAACAAATTATGCTCACTAAAACTGGCCACCCTAATATACTGAGGACCATACCAGTGTCCAACCTATAGCTGGCTGGTACTCTCTTCCATTTGTTAGGGTGTTAGAGAAGAAATGGTCCTCAAAATATGTATGTATGTTGTTATTATTGTTAGTTACCAGTTGTCATCCAGTTGATTCTGGCTCATGGCAACCCCATGTGACCCCATGTGCAGAGTGGAGCCACTCTGTAGAGTTTTCAAGGCTGTGATCTTTTGGAAGCAGATTGTCAGGCCTGTCTTCCAAGGAACCTCTAGGTGAGTCTGAATTGCCAACCTTTCAGCTAATACAGTAGTTGAGTGCCTAACCGTTGGGACTAAGTTGGTCCAATATGGCTAAGTTTACATGGTAATTGTTGTTGCTGTTGTTATGTGCCATCAAGTCAGACCCGACTTATAGCGACCCCTCCTTGGGTATCCAAGGTGGTATCACTAAGGAAGTAGATTGCCCAACCTTCCTTCCGAGGAGTGGCTGGTGGATTTGAACCACCAGCCTTCTGGTAGCAGTCAGGTGCCTTAGGCATTATGCTACCAGAGCATGGTAATTATGTTACCTTAAGTGAAATTGTGGTAGTTAAGTTGTGTGTCAGCTTGCCTGGGCCTGGTTTTGAGTGGCTGGGCAGCTGGATGTAGTATTCCCCATGATGAGACTGGTAATCATCTCCATGGTGGAATCTATTGTGAGCAGCTGAGCAGCTGTCTTAGGGATGTGATCTGCTTCCAGTATAAAAGAAGCATTGAGTAAAGTCTCTGCAGATTTTTGGCACACGTGGACTCTGCATGTAGCCAACCCTTCATTTAGCAGCCTGTCACGTTTCCAGTCGATCTTGGGACTGTCTCTGGATTTGAACTACTGGCCTGCCATGTTCTTTGGGTAATATTGGGATTGTGCCTTTTTACTTGTTGACCTTGGGCTTGTCAGCCTCAGCAGCCAGCAGCTGCCTGAGTAAAGAGACACTTCCAGCTCCAGTGGGCCAGAAGCAAGAGGTAGAGGTGAAGCCCAAGGTTGAGGGCCATTAGTGTGATTGCCTCTCACTCTAACCGTCATTTAAATTCATGGCTCTTAGAGTGAGTGCCCCAAGAGCTGGCACTTTGAACTTGGGACTTCTAGCCTGCAAAACTATGAGAGAATAAACTCTTGTTTGTTAAAGCCATCCACCTGTGGTATTTCTGTTACAGTGGTACAAAGCAACCAAAACAGGCATGATAACCCAGGTAGAGCCCAAAACATCTTTCAAAAATAATTCAGACTCATAACAGGCTACACTAGGACCTTAAAGGCAAAAGTGTTTCGACTGCTGCAAACTCCTCTCTTATTTTCATCTCTCAGAGGCTTGTGGGAAGCAAGAATATAAAGTATAAGGGCTTTAGCACTCAGTGCATAGAGCTGGGCAGGAGAGAAAGAAGCTGTGTAGGGATAACAATAGCCTTAGTGGAGAAGCCATATGACTGTCCCCTAACGGCCATTCAAATTCATAGAAGGCTTCTCTTCCCTGGGCT